AAAAAAAAAAAAAAGGAAAGATGGGTTCTCCCAGCCCTGCTGTGCTCTTGCCGGCAGCCCCCATCTCCCTGCCTTTGCTTGATCTGTTGATGAGCCCTTTACAAAAAACAAAAAAGTATATATATGTATATAAATATCAGAATTATAACAGGCAAATAAAAACCTGGAAACGAAGAGGAACTGTTGTCATTTTACTGAGCAAGACTTCTCTACCATCTCCCTCACTGCCTGCAGTAGGTCAACTCCTTCGACCTCCCCTTCCAGGCCTTGCTACCTGCTCCTCCTGCTCCTGTTGGCCTCCAAGGCAGCTCTGGGCTATCCCCACCATTGGACCCCTTCATTCCTGCAACAGGACAGGCACAGGAGCAGAGTGTGGCCGGGTCTCAGGAGCCTCTTCCTTGTCTAATGTGACATAACCAACCTGCGTGCCTGCCTGGCTCCTGGCTTCAGCACCCTGATGGAGTAGACCTCCCTCGGTGCCCAGCCCTTGAAACCAGTACATACTTTAAATGAATGACCACACATAAACCTCAAGTGGACCCACAGGGACAACCAGCTTGCCTTGGGAACTTCTGAGTCAGTTTGTTACTTGGCTCTCCCAGGTGAGGTCCCTCACCTTTCTCCTATCCCTGGCCTCCGCAGGTCTTTGATTCATCTTCAACTGAGTGAGTAGAAAACATGAGAAGAAAAATTCTTTCCCCAACGTCATCTATCCCTGAAGCCCTGTCCCAAACCCTCTGTCCTCTCCTGGCCCCAGGGGGCAAACCCCAGTCCGTTGAGGTCAGCCTTCCACCTGGGCACCAGGTCCCACTCAAGGATTGCTTTGTTGTGTCTTCCTTCTCTATTCCATACCTCTCATTTTTCTGTACCTATTGGGCATCCCATGGGCAAACAAACGTGCTGTAATAGCTTCTATCGCTAAAAACACTCCCTTACCGCATGCCCTTCCAGCTCTTGCCCCATTTCCACAAACCCCCCTCAAGACTCGTCTGCACTCATCATCCCAGCTGAATTTCCACCCTTAGCAGCATCCGCTTGTCCCCAGTATAGGTCGCCTTGTTCTTACATAACAATAACTGAAGCTAACCCTGGCTGGCTACCTCAGTTGCTTGGAGCTTTGTCCCTATATGCCAAAGTTGCCTGCTGGGTTTCATGCCTGGTCAGGGCGCATACCAGAAGCAACAAATGAATGCATAAATATGTGGAAGGACAAATCAATGTTTGTTCCTCTTTCCTCTCTGAAATCAATTTTTTTAAAGGCAGTGGATATATGCAGTCTTTTTTCGGAGCTGGGGGAGAGGGTATATGCCCTAGGAGGAGAGTTGGGCCAGAGAGTGGCTGTGCCAGTTATGTTACTATGGCTGTCTCTTGCTGGCCTCTGCTTCATTACACCTGAGTGGGGGCTCTGCAAACCGCATTCCTGCTCTGCCTGCCGGCTCCAAGTTAGGCTTTGCTAACAGAATGTGGTGGAGGGAGACTGCAAGTCTGAAGGAGGGCGGAGGGACGTGCTCTTTCCTGTCAGCATCACCCTCGCAGCAAGCATCTCATTTCCATGGCACTAGCTGAATCCAATTATCGGATTTCCCAACACTTACAAAAGCAGCTTTGTTGCATCCAGCTGAGACACCAGCACCAGGCAACCAGTGTCCCTCCTTAGAGGCCTGGGTCCCAGGCCCACGGGACCCTCTTCTGAGCTCAGAGACCCCAGCACTAAGCTCTGTCCCCCTCAGGCTGAGTTTCTCCTGGGAGGTTGCTAAATTTGAGGAGCTGCGGCCGCTTCCTTTTGTTGCAGCCTTAGGTGGGAGGCTGCTGCAACAAAAGACCACAAACCACGTGCCTTACACAACAGAAATGTATTGCCTCCCAGTTCTAGAGTCCAGAAGTCCAAGATCAAGGTGTCCACAAGGTTGTGACCCCTCTGAAGGTGCTAGGGAAGGATGTCATCATTTCTGCTTCCTGAAAGGATCCAGACTGATGGAGAAACTGGTAATAGGAGTGGTATCAGGAATAATATTCTGAAAGAGACGCTTTGGAGATTGGTTTGTCTTCCTCTTCGGGCTTGAAAACACCATTAAGTTTCAGGGTCCCACTCTTCCCCATCCACAGAAATGTGAAGAAGCTAGAAATTCAACTGACATAGGATCCTGTAACCCACACATTGTGCTTGATTTCCAGCACTGTCAGCCCTATTGCTACAAAAAGTAAGAGAATTTTTAGGGCTGTCATGGAAGCTCTCTGGTGCCTTACAAGGGAACATCCATTCTCCTCAAGACCCACCACAACCATCCCTGTTGCCATTAGACCCACAACGAGGGACCAATCTCAGCATGGTCTAGGGGTACAGGCACATGCTAAGACACAGGAAGAAGCAGCTTATACACCAAAAGAATAGCAAGATTTTACAAATAGTAAATACTGGCAAAAACCTGGGGAAATAAGTATGGGAGTGGATGCTAAGGATGTTATACCAAGGAGAATGGAATATAACAGTGGTTGGGCACAATTTATTAACTGGGTCCATTTACCAAAGATTCTACATTTAATGTTAGCCCATGCAGCTGGAAGGGACTTTAACAGCCTACTTGGTTGGTAGACTTAAATTTGAACTCACGTGTGGCCTAAATTCAATGATATCAAAATGCCAGGAAAACTCTGGCTTTGGGAAAGAACCCAAAGGTATAATTCCTAGGGGGAACTGCAGCGATCGGTATCTTGAACTTGAAAGTTGCAGTGATGGTAATATCTTTCATATCTCAATTTGTCTACTTGGCCGTGAGCAGAAGGTGGATGGATCTTGGAGAATGGCTGTGGATTGATGTAATCAGAAGTGACTTCAACTGCAGCTGCTGTTCCAGATGCACTCTCTTTACTGAAGCAGAGCATCACAACCCCTGGCCTCTGGCATGCAGCTATTGCCCTATCAAGTGTTTTACTCTATAGCAATTTTCAAAGTCCACCAGAAGCACTTTATTTTTACTGGAAAAGGCCAACAGTACACCTTCACAGTCTTGCCTATGGGCCATGTGATCTCTCCTCTGACATGATATAGTACTTAGAAACCTTGATTATCTTACCATTCTTCACAACATCTACTGGTTCACTACACTGAGGACATCATCCTGATCGAATCTGATAAGCAAGAAGCAGAAAGTACTATAAATGCCTTAGTAAGACTTACGCAAACCAAAAGGTAGGAGATATACCCCCATGAAAATTTAGAAAAGTAAAACCTCAGTGAAGTTTCTAGAAATTCAATGCTCTAAAACTTAAAGATATCCTCTTCAAGGTGGAAGACACAATGTGCACCTTGTACAAACTACCTCTAAAAATAATGTTTGATGGGCTGTTCTGGATTATGAAACCTGTATCACATGTGTGTGTGCTATGCTGACCTATTTACTGTGTAATTCATAAGGCTGCTAATTTTGTGTGGGGATCAGAGCA